AATGTATAGGACTGTTGTGCACGAAGCAGAAAGACCACTGCAGAATTTGGCTGTTATAATCTTATATTTTGTTGTCTGCAAGTACAACGATGTGTATTAACCTTATTTAAGGTGACGATTTGAAAAAGTCGGTTCAAGCTCGCGGAGGCCCAGAGAACTACGAAATCTCTGCCTGGGTGCAAATTGAGAAAATGTCTCCTGAGGACGTTGGAACGTATACGTGTATCGCCAAGAACAAATTAGGCAAATCTACTGCCAGCTGTACGGTTGTTATTCAGTCAGGTACACAATCCGCATTCTTATGACTACCAGCTGCTTAAATTGAGTTATTTTCAGATAAACGCGATTTGTAATCGATCAGCGACAGCTCCTTTCCATGACTGCCAGATACTGATTTATCTTATTGCAGTTATTGTCACTTATCCGATTTTCTTCAGACTATCCCGTGCTTAGTTTTCGTTGAAGCGTGTAACGTTCTAATATAGTGACGTACTGATTAGCTGAACTTATAATAAAATGCACAGTATGTGACATTCTGAATAAACAGCACTGCTTTTTGTACGATTGATCGAATTCAAATGCCGGTTTCTGTTTAAAGCGGGAAGAAAACAGGAAATTCTCTTAAAATGGATAAATGCGACAAGTTATTCCAATATTTACATTTGATTTCATAGTTAAGGTAGCTGTTGCTGTGTACGCATGATTTTAACGTATGGAATCTGGAGATTTGCAGGTGAGTGCGACGTAGCCGTCATGCGCGAATAGACGTCCAAAACGCAAACTATAGTGCTTTCTTGTGCTTCTTCCCATTTTCAGATTAAGATGCATACATAAACGGAGAAGCAGTAGAACAGGTTGAGAAGCTGACACCTCCGGGTCGTTTTTCCTGGTGACAGAAAATGGGAGGCAGAAATCGATTTGTGAACTGGATTGGCCAGCGACGTTCTGCGTGAACCAGCCTGGATAAAGCAGAGCTGAGATTGAAGACAGAGCTTTCGATGTTCAAGTCGATCTTCATTCCTACGGTCATGAGTCGCGGGTTATAACTACAAAACTTCGATCCCAAGTATAAGCGACTAAATAGGGCTTTCTCAGACGAATCGTTGAGTTCACGCGTTTCGACATGGTCTGGAGTACAGATATCTGAGAGAGTCTTGATGTACAGTTGCTGCTCCTCCAGATTAAGAAATCACAGCTGGGATGGTTTTGTCAAGTCTTTACAACGCTTCCAGAAGGAACAGCAAAACAGATATTACTTACCTAACCAGAGACCTTGGGACTGTCAAGAATAACCTGGAGCACGTGTCTCTACAGACTGCTCCAAGTGTGGGCTATATTTTGCAGAAGTCTAAATGCTATACAAGATCAGGAACGTTGGATACTGTCAAATATGTTTCCTTCCGCGACCAAAATTAGTGATGCCAGAGATCCTCGCAAACAACACCCAGGCATTTCTCCCCCTGCACGTAATGATGGACATTTAAAAATCGAAAACGAAGGCCGCGCGTTCGAATCTGAGTTCAATGTACGCTGTAACTGAGCCCTTCGCAGGCATAGTACCGTGTCACTTGATCCGGATCCTGAATGATTCTCACGCATAAATTAGAAAGTTACGTACAAAGGTGCTGTAAAGTTTTTTTGTTTATTTTGTTCGCTATGTATAATTGTAGCCGCTGAAAAGTGGATGTTTGCTGTCGACTACAGTTATAAATAAATGTTATCTAAGTCTAAAGATGCAGTCATCGGAACTGACTTTCTGCATTAATCCTGTTAACCGAAAATTACTATAACGTTAATGCAGTGGTCTGACGTGTATTATGGACCTTCATTGGTATTATATGGGTTACAAAGACTTGCTCAGTTTAAATCTGGCCTGCAATTCCGTATCTTGTTTTATGTTGCTCTTCACAACACAGATCGGATTTATAATTGATTAAGCAAATACGGTGAAGCTGGACAATCGAGGTTATTCCGTAGACGCGAAGAAGTTTGTCAACATTATTCCAATAAATTTTGCTGCTTGACATTTCGTAGTTGAAATTTATAACTCAGCTATTTTGCAAACCGTTGTAGAATCGTTTTCGCAACACTGCAAAACAAAAAGAACAAATCCATCTGGGGGGGGTGAAACCTCGCAATATGTTAATCATTAACAAATTCTCTGATATTTAGGATCATGATTGATCATCTTTTCAGTTAGTGACATATAAGTTTACGTTTGAAACTTTGAACCCTCAACTATAGTAATGACAGGTACAATTGTCCGTTCAAAAACTCAAGCGTATATGCACATTCTTTGGCAACGAAAAGTCGGAACTTT